TTAGGGGTTTAGGGTTTGGGGATTCGGGTGTAGGAACGAGTTCCGGCACATCTTCTTCTGCTCCTCATTCCCACTCACCCAGCCTCGCCTCCCAAGTGTAACCATAAATGGACAGACGACAATCGATTTGTTATAAATATGGGCAGCTTCAGGCAGTTGGACACCCTTGTTTGTTTGGTTTGATTGCCTTGGACAGGGAGTTTCAGGCGGAGCCCTGCCCTACCACCATTTTGAACCGTATGAACCCAAAGCCACTCTAACAACATACCATATTAGTATACTACATTATGCTAAGACAAACACCCAACCCCCATCTGCCTGCAGGGAGCCTTGCAGCTGCTGCTGGAGGCCGCGCCGGGATGGTACTATTTGCTGTTGCTGCTGCGGCCTCCTCCTCCGCTCCCTACTACTACTGCTGCTGCTGCTGCTGCTACTACTACTACTACTACTACTACGAGACCCTCCTACTCACGAGCCCCGACTACTACCACGACAGCTCCTCCTCCCACCACTACGGCTATTCCCACTCCTCCGACTCGTCCTACTCATCGTCCTCCTACTCCTGCTACTACGACTACTCCTTCTCCCACTCCTACTCCTCGACTCCTACCGCTGGTTCTCCTCGTCGTCCTCCTCGTCTTCCTCCTCCTCCTCCTCACCGCCACTGCCACAACCACAACCACCAACCACCACCACCACCAACACGACTGCTGCTACGACGACCACCACCACCACCGGTTGCAACAGTGGCGATGAGTGGTTTGCAAAAAGGCAGTGAAGGATCTTCATACCCTTGCTGTCAGGCACCGTCGCCACGCCGTGCGGAGCAGCCAACCCGCCAGCATTTCCGATCAAATTGTCTGAACAAGTTGTGGTGTCACTCTTAGAGCTCCTTGAACCCTAAACCCTGCACCTTTATACCCTAAATCCTTAAAGCGATAAGACCTTATAGTCCCAACATGAAGCCCTACAGGACTTCCATCTGCCGAATTTCCTGGACCTCGTGACTCCCCTGCTTCTTGTGGTTCTCTTGGAAGTTCGCAACGTGAGAGTCTGGTTGCGAAGATGAAGTCGGAGCATGATTGCGAAGATTCCGACATGCGCTCTTTTTGTCTTCGTGTTCTTCACGCAGTTTGCGAGCAGCGACAGATCAGATTCGCATGCCAGCTAACACTCTGTAGTGACGTCAGCTGTCGTGAAGTCCAGCTCAGGCCAGCGCCACAACAAAAAGAGGAATATGGCACCTGCGCAATCTGCTTCTCGTCCGAATCGTGCAATGCTCCTGTTATAGTAAGCCTTAATTAAGGTAGCCGTAACCCTTCTCTTAGCTCTTCTAGTATCCTTGTAATGCGTCTTATAGTAACTCTGGCACTCTTTGAGTTGGCAGCTAAAGGGGGGCCACGATCCGAGAATCTCATCTCAAGATCCGGATATCCCCGAATCGTCAAACTTGAATCAGGAGGCTGCAAGCGGCACATCATAGAGGTTTAGGGTTTGGGGGTTTGCCTGGCTGTTTGGTCACATGGAGTGGGTAAGATAGGGGCCTCAATAGCTAGCTAGTTTGACAGGTTGGTCCTTCCAGTGGCGGTATAAGTATGCTGCCATCTAAGGTGTGGTGCAGAGCATTCCCTTCTAATTACTGTCGCCTCCACGAGGAGTATAGGAGCAATTGTGGAAATCAGCAGGAGAGGGTTCGGGTGGTGCAGGTGACATCATTTCAAGTTGCGATTTACGAAGCCTAGAAATGTCATTCGGCTTTTTGGGGTCTACCGCTTTGTTTCTACGTGGAAAGATCGAGCTGAAAGCACATGCTGGGTCGTGGGCAAGTCCGCGTCACTGAGCGGTCTACCGGGCTTCGTCATAACTGCTCACATCGACCTGAAGGGATGCCAAAACAAACCTGCGGGGTAACATGCCTATAGAGCTCTTTTTTTCCGTTGGCGGTCCCTGTGTTGCTAGACCGGATCCCTTTGCTCTGGGCCCTTCGGGCTCGGCCTCGAGGAAGTTCAAAGCAAGACCCAAGGCTTAGCGATCAGGGCTTCTGTCATGGAGACCCTTTAACTAGAATGTAGAAAGTTACCAACACTGCTCCTCCGTAGTTATAGTATAATCGACCCCAAAACCCTACTTTAATTATTGAGATCCCCATAGTACGCTCGCACATTGTCGGAGTCTCTGAACTTTTAAACCCAAGGATCGTATTTCCTAAACCCAAACCCAAACGTGAGCTCTGAATACTGAAGCACGATCTCTGGGGCTATTTTGGGGCACGAGGTACAGAACCGATCCAGCCGCGAGAGGCACCAATTTGGGGCGTAAACGGTCTTTCGAGAGGAAGATCCTTAAGATGGTGGGAACATGCCAGCACCCTTACAGTAAGGTACCCCTAATGAAGGTTTGGGGTTATGTGTTTTTTTGAGGTGTAGTTTTGAATCTTTTATATTCTTACGGATTCTCCTTTGCAGGATGTAGGGGTTTCAAGCAGGTAAGGCTCCCCAGTATAAATCACATGTAGTCTGCCGCATGAGTAGGACCCCAAAACATAGAGCACCCCTAAGTTTAGGAAATCTGCATCTCGGATTGGGCGCAAAAGGGATTTGAGGGATATCAGCGTACACATAGATGAGCAACCCTACGGCCCTACAAGGAACATGTACGTAATGTTTCAGACAGGAACGCGTGGGGCCCCTGTTGTTTCCACATAAAAGGTTTTGCGATGTTTTGTGGATTGTCTCTTATATGTTTCGGTATTGGAATTTCTTCCAAACCAAAAATGGTTTAACAGGTACACGCGAATAGGCGAATAGGTAAGCACATAGGGCCAGTGCCTTAGGGCGGGAA